GGGGCTCCCGGGCTTCAGCGTCCGCAGCATCTGGGCCCGCGACACCTCCGACGCCATGGCCTCCGACGCATCAAACCGCGACACCCGAAACGGGCGGTTTCTGTCGGCCTTCGGCCGGTTGGTTATGAGTCCCTTGCTCAAAACGCGGCTCACTACTATGGCCGCAATCCCCCGCACTCCGGAATGCGTCAGGAACTAAGGCGGACATTCTCCGCAGCTATTTGGGTATGGCCCAAAAAAAAGGTAGAGATACGGTTAGAAAGGTTTTGGTCCATGTTTCCATTTACCAAGGTGACATTTTGATACCACTGTTTTGAGCCACAGCCAAATGGCCGCAATCCCGGAACCATGCTTCAGGAATTAGGAAGGCGGATATTCGCAGCTATTTATGGTTGGATTGTCCCTTACCAACCTTCATCTACCCTTGTTTTGCTTGTGGCTCAGCTTGCCTCACTCCTTCACTACATCCAGTCCTCTGAAGTGACGGCAATACATGTGAAGGCTCTGGGTTTTGTGCGCCATGTATCCACAGAGGCGTGTTGGATGACAGAATGTGGAGAACATCATGGGGTGGGCAAGGAACGAAGGAATTCATACTGGGATGCCATTGCCAAAGACGCTGATGGGAGGAGTGCCTCATTTGAAGATTCACCATAGCACCAGAGCATAAAGTGCCGCCTGTGAGCGCCTGCAAGACACACGACACACCACACACGACACACGACACACGACACACCACACACGACACACCACACACCACACACGACACACGACACACCACACACGACACACGACACACCACACACGACACACGACACACGACACGCCACACACGACACACGACACGCCACACACGACACACGACGCACGACACACGACACCACACTCACACGCACACTCACACACACACACACACACACACACACACACACACGACCCACGCACGCACGCACGCACGCACGCACGCACGCACGCACGCACGCACGCGCGCGCGCGCGCACGCACGCACGCACGCACGCGCACGCACGCACGCACGCACACGCACGCACGCACGCACGCACGCACGCACGCACGCACGCACGCACATGTGGCCAGCGTATGACGCGCCTTGACAACGGCAATAACGTGACAGCGGCAGCAAGCGCCTTCTTGCGACGTCAGCAGCATGACCGTGTTGACCTTTATTGTATATGGTAGCAGCGCTTCAGCAGCAATTAACAACAACGCTTGACGGCAGCTTGTGACGCCAGCGCAATAGCCATTGCCGTAGCAGTATGACAACCATGACGTAATGACAACGATAACCATTGTAACCAACGGTATGACAGCAGCAACGATATGACGCTTGTGTTGAGCGTGTGACGCTGTGTATGGTAGTAACGGTAACCGTGCCAGCTAACGTTTTCGTGATAACGTGTGGTAACGGCCAGCCGCGTCGCCGTAGCCTGTATTGTGACGCGACCTTGATGACAACATTAACGCTATTGTGCCGACCATGACATGACCATGACCTTGTGCTAATAACAGCCGCTGGCCTTATGACCTGTATGTGTGTGTGACGCTGCGGTATGACGTGACCGGTATTGTGCGACCTTCAGCAATGACAGCGGCAGCGGCAGCGACTGCGACAGCAGCGTGACGCGCTTCTTCCGTGTGACCTTGTTGTGTGACGGCGACAGCCTTCATGTTGACAGCGGCAATAATCGTGACGCTTTGTGTGCGTGGCAACGCAGCGACCAGCCTTGTGTGACGCGTGACAGCAACGCTGGTAACAGCGACCAGCGTGTGACGCGGCAACGACCTTTGTTGTGACCATGACCAACGACCTTGACCTTGACGGCGACCAGCGGAAACATTCGCGTGACAACAACATTGACCAACGGTAACGACGCGTGTTGACAACGACTTAACCAATAACGTGCCGCTAACGACATGTTGGCAATGCGACAACGACAACGACGTGAACGTGTGACGTGCGACCAACGACGCTGACCAACGTTGTGACGCCTTGACGGCGGCCCCGCCAGCTGCGCTGCGTAGCGGCCGCGGCCCAGCAGACCAGCGACACTTGTGCGTGCGCTGTGATTGCCTTCGGCACGTGACACACGCACGCACGCACGCACGCACGCACGCACGCACACGCACGCACGCACGCACGCACGCACGCACGCACGCACGCACACACGCACGCACGCACGCACGCACGCACGCACGCACGCACGCACGCACGCACGCACACGCACGCACGCACACGCACGCACGCACGCACGCACGCACGCACGCACGCACGCACACACGCACGCACGCACGCACGCACGCACGCACGCACACGCACACGCACGCACGCACGCACGCACGCACACGCACGCACGCACGCACGCACGCACGCACGCACGCACGCACGCACGCACACGCACACGCACACACACGCACACGCACACGCACACGCACACGCGCATGCACGCACACGCACACGCGCACGCGCACGCGCACGACACACGACACACACACACACACACAGACACACACACACACACACAGACACACAGACACACAGACACACAGACACACAGACACACAGACACACAGACACACAGACACACAGACACACAGACACACAGACACACAGACACACAGACACACAGACACACAGACACACAGACACACAGACACACAGACACACAGACACACAGACACACAGACACACAGACACACAGACACACAGACACACACACACACACTTACACACAAAAGGCAGACCGTGCAGGCGTCCCAAACACAATGGCCAGGTCCCGAATGTAAGCGGTCCGAGTGATGTCCATAAAGTGAGCTATCATCTGCTTCCTTGGTTTTCAAAAGTAGTACAACCAAAGGAACACCCGGAAACCTGCAGATAGCTTGAAGTTCCTCAGTGAGCGGCAAACGCAAGCCAGAAATTCCCTTCGGCCTCAAAGATGCGGTCAATAGGCATGGTGGACAAGAAGTCCACCAAGAAGTAAGTCTTCAAGTAGTGCCTTCAAGAGAGCAAGGACAGCGTTAGTTCCTGTGAATCCTTTTAAAGCTGCGGGCATCTCACACTTACTTTTCATTCACATAAAGGTATGCTGATACGCAGATATGTTACCTGATTTGATTTGCTCCAAGTGCAAATTCCCCAGACATCTACTCCAAGGCTTGCATACTTTCATTCTGGGTCCTAGTTTTGCCGGCGCTTGCCATCCTGGCGTGTGAACCAATGTCTCAACTTGATGCCCATTGTGTTCCCAGCTTCACCTCGCCGAGTGACAAGATATGATGAGCGCAGCTTCGGCTCAATTAAACAAGAAGGGATCACACAGACTCATGGTTAAACGGAGCATTAACTCCATCCCGAAAAGACGCCAGGGCGAAAGCTCCGCGTTGCCCATCATCCAACGAGAGCGTGTGGCGTGTGCGGCGTGAGTTTGAACTGCGGCTGGCCTGGCAATCTCCGAGGGCACTGTGTCCAGCAGGCCGTTGGGATCCAGAAAGGCAGTCCGAAAACCTCGATGCCGGGCGCTCGGTGGGCCACAGACGATTTTGGTCCCCGCTTTCGATCTGGAGAACTCTCACGAGTTGAGTTCTCAAGTGCTAGGGGACACGGTGCGAGAATATGGCTTAGCCCCTGAAGAAACTGGAGCGGAGAGTCTTGCCTGTGGCGTACTTGTGTGGCAGTTCTCTATATTCTTCTTCGTAGCCTCGTCCACAGCACCATTCAATCGCGACGGACCACTTTTTGTTGGGCTTGGAAGGGACACCTTGGGGAGGGTCAGAGTGTCAAAGCAAGGCTGGAAAGGAAAAACCTAAGATCAGCCACAAGGGACCCGTAACTTCTACACATTCCCATGTGGGGACCTGCCTGTAGTTGCTCGCCATGAAACAGCTGCCTTCTGCAAAAACCAAACTGATGGCCTGCAAGCAAGCGTTTCGCGCAGCATATCCCACAGAAACAGGTGATTCCAAAAGGATTGTGTTGATGGGTCTTCAATAACAAGCCGAACGCCCAGAAGCCAAAAAACTCGGGAGGGCTTCCTTTCGAGTGTATCGGGCCAGGTAAATTCCGGATCTTTGGCATCCGGTTCAGGAGCCTTGCATATGTAGTACAAGCGAAGTGGCATGCCCGGAATCGATGGTGCTTTGCCAGTCCAACAAGAATGCCAACAAGTGGAAAGAACCCGTTTGCGTCAAGCATTGTGCTTTGTTAAACAAAAGCATGGCCCCAACATAGCGTTGTTCATAAGCCGTCAATGGGTTTACCTCTCGAGGTCATGACAGCAATGTACGTCAGCCAATGGCCCCGGGCTGAGCACCATATCCAACGCGAAGAAAAGGTCGACAATGACCTGAAGCAACGTGTGCCACAAATGACACGCAGTCAACAAGGTCCTGGCACTTCTCCATATATGCTGGTTGTAGAACTTGTCCAAGTCAGCTATTGATGACTGTTGAGTCCTTTTGCTATTATGAAGCTATCATATTGAACCCATACCATTATCAGCACCTTGACCGCCCATCTCCAAGCCAGCGGAATAGAATAACCCACCCAGGTCAGCAGCCTGCACGCACAATGAAACAGCTCGAGAGATCGTGCGATCGAGCCGTGAGTTGAGGACGACTTGTTGTGGGGTTCATTGAGCTTTCCAGGAGACACATTGGCAAAACCAACAAGCTGTCCATGTCTCGCGCGCTGCAATGGATCCACCTCTTGATCTCGCAACTACTTTTCTCGATCTGAGCTCGATTTGAATCTCTTCTTTGAAGGGATCCTATCTTAAAAGTTTCATCGGCTCTCCGCTGGAGATGTTGCTGAAACATGGAGATATTGATAGCAGCCATGCTTTCACCGGAATTGGGTCCCAAGTCTGAAACCAAACCCTTGGAAGCTCATCTAAAACACGCCAAGTGAAGCTCTCACTTCACCCAGATGCGGGGGATTGTCATCGTTTACTCGCATCGGGATACCGAGTCAAGTCCTCACGAGGTCACTTGAAGGAAGCAGGGTCGATCTCAATTATGGCCATATCCTCGAAGTGGGGCAAAGCATCCGGCAGGAATTCCTGGCGCAAAAGGGGGTCCCTGAGCATAAATGAGCCTGAGGCAAGTCCGAAGCTAGCATGCCGGAAAAAAAAAGGTAACAGTTTGACAACGACACCGGTCTTTTGCTGGAACAACTTCTCAAGATTCTGGAAGCCTGGAGCCCATTCTCAAAATCACAAGCAGCCAATTGATTCACCGAGTTCGTCTGGGTTCGTATGCGACGCGCAAATCGGGTCCCGAGGTCCCGAGGGTTCGGTGCACTCCCCGGATCCCGCGTCTCCTTGGCACTCTCCACGTCAAAGTCTGTGGTAACCACCATTCTGTAGCCTGGCAAACCAAGCTCAATCAATTTCATGGCGCGGGAGGAGGCAACACCATACACGACATGCATACAAAGCAAGAACATTCAGGAACAAGGTCTACGTTCGCTCACAGCCAGTTTCCGTCCAATACTCGGGCTGAAGTCGACAAGTCGACAACCCCGGAAGCGGATCAGAAAGCCCATCGCGCCTTCCTTCATGTGGCCAATGTTCCCCGGCCAGTCTGCCAGATCCTCCTTGGTCACCATGCTGAAGTAGGGGCGCTCCTCCTTCGGCGCCGCGGGGTCGCCCTTGAACTCCTGTCACGGACACCGGGAGCGGGCCTAGCAGGCCACATGAGGCCGTGTTGGAAACAGCTTCACACACGTCGTGGTCAGGGCTTCTAGTGAAATGAAAGGGCGTGCCCCCTTGCAAAATGTGCTTACTCCGAGCTATTTCCAGCTCTCTCGATTGCTGCTGGCAAGGCTGCGCAAAGGAGCCTTCCCAGCGATTCATCATTTCTCTGCTTGGTGCTTGAAATGAAATCCTAAACGATAATCTGCCTAGTTGTGTCCACGTTTGAAGGTCTTGCGCGCTCAGATTCCGCCGCACTAAAAAAAAAACGTGTACGCCAAATACCCCAAATCTGAATGCGAAAACGATGCGCTTCCGGAGCGGTTCGAGCTCTGGCTGGCGGCTGCCGGGAGCCGAGTTGGTTTTGTCTGCAGTTTGCCTTGAGCAAGTGATCTCTGCCGGCCACTGGCCACTGGCCACCTCAGTCTGGCCTGTCACAGCCGGGGGCAGAGGAGCTCAGTGGGTCGGGCCAGCGGAAGCGAGTGTGGTCTGTCACACACCTGGGTCTCTGTCACACCTGTCGGAGATTGTCACAGCTGGGGTCTCAGTCACTGTCGTGGCCAAAAAGACCACGGAACACCCCGCACGGCTTGTGGCTGGATGTCACTTGCCCGGCGGGCGAGAATGTTTGCTTGAACTAGCCAGGTCCCTGGCCTCTATTCAAAAGCAACTCTTGCCATGGCCTGAAACAGTTGGTACGGGTCTTTGAGTGGGCTGTTGACCTGGCTGCTTGCGGCACTCAGTTTTGCCGCATATCCTGGACGGTTCGGTCGGGAAGGCGATGGGTGCTGTTCAACAAGGCATCACCTAAAATAGAAGGTCGCTTTTGAAGACTCCTCCACATAGCCATTGATCGAAGCCGATTTTTATTGACACCAACCTGCACTGGTCGCAACCATGTCGAGCATCAAAGACCGCTTCACAAACAGCCCAAGTCCTTGTCTTTGAAGAAGCAGAGCGGGAACTTGTCCTCTCTGCAGAAGGTCTTTTTGAAGGCCACTGCAGTGTTCCTCACGAACGGCTTTGAACGAGCATGGGCTCGAAGGAAAAAGAAAAAGGCATGCGGCTTGATGTCATTTCCCGACCACGCATATCCCACTGTGCAGGGCTATGCGAGGAATCCAGAAAGCAGCGCTCCAAACGAAAGTCCAGCGTGCCCGTGTTGTTTGTCATGTTCCAGTCAGCAAGCAGCTCTGATTTGAGGCTCTGTTGTGTGGGATGATCTTTGGAAGGGGCACCCTTTCAGGGTTCTGTTCTTCCCATGAAGGTGGCCATTTGGGGACCACGTGAGACAAGCCCACGAACGAGCTAACCATCTAACATTGGATGGATGGGGATTTGTCAACATAGTCTGCAAACATTTAGAACATGCCTCTGGGATTGTCTACCGCAACGGATTTGCTTCCTTGGATATGTGTTGCTCACGCGGCCAGGATCTCGCATCTGAAAGCACACCGTTAGGGCAGGCACGTGTATCGAATGCGCGCACGTGCGTCCACGCTTGGGAATGTCAACTCAGAGGGCCTTCCCTTGCGAATCAAGAGTCTTCAATGCATCAGTGTAGATGTTCTTCCCGAAAGTATTTTTCAGAGCATCCTACAGCCTATAATTGCTTGCTCAGCCCACAGCCCACAACTGGAAGATGCTCAGTCCCTGCTGAGTAGGGTTCACTGTTCTTTGTTCAGCCCTAACCACCCCCCTCCACCTATGGTGGCTCCGGCCGAGCGGCGACATGGCCACGTGCACAGGGAGTCCGTGCTTCAGCGCACCCACCACGCGCTTCCGGAGTTCTTCTTGCATGTCCTCCACCTAATTGATGGCCAGTCAGCAGTCACGAGAAGCGCAAAGCAAAAGCCCAACTTGGCATGTTCAACTGTCCTTGGGACCTCAAACTGCACACTACATGTTGGATGTTCCCCATATCCAGGGGTGCAACTCTGCTTTTTGAAAGCGATGCGGGGATGCGCTCGCTTTGCGCGGCTCGTTTGAGCAAAGGCGCACTCACCTCCTTCTTGATCATGGTCTGTCCCAGCACCCATTTCCTGAAATGCCCATGCTCGAACGCTCACTTGGTTTGAGTTGTGAAGCCACGATGCTCTAAGGAGAAGCCCTCATGGTACTTGTAACTAAGTTCCTTTGCACAGTGTTGATGGCCATCGCCATCGCTATCACCGGCCACAACCGGGCATCATTCTCAAAGTCGCCAGTCTACAAGGGAGCAAGCTTGGTTTCTGACTTTGACAGCCGCTGTAAACAAAAAAACAATGGGGCCCAGTCTTAGCCCCAAGCAAGCAGGATGATTGACCCTGGCATCAAAGAGCTCATGCTCCGCAGTCCTCCACATGCCCAGTGGACACGTGCAAGTTCTTACATACGATCGATGTGCCTTGTTCTCCAAACGACGTGGGGGGCTTGGTGAGTGTCAATGATCCAAGAAAGCAGGATTGGATCCTTTGACGTTTGGTCGGGGGTTCAATTGGTGATGGAACATGTAAAGCAACAAAGAAAACTCTCCAGGCAGGCGTCGCATCAATCTGCGAATACCCGGAATAGGTGAAGTAGGTGTCGGCTTCCTGCGAAGGCAGGACTACACAATAAGTCGCCTGTGTGCAATTTGAAGGCGCTGCAGGTCAACGGGGTTGCCTGAGGAGTACCAAGCCTTCCTAAACTTTATCAGCCCCCCAAACAGGCATCGTCGTCTCGAAACTTTCTATCAAATCTGATGAGCTTGGACCGGTCGGGGCTTGATAAATAACGTCCCTTCATCATCCCTCTACCATGATCAAGCCCCTCCCTTCATTTCTCATCATCAAGCCCCCTCCCCTTAATCATCAAGCACCTCCCTCCTCATGATGGACTGCCTGACAATGTAACCCCCCCCCCCCCCACTCCTCTATCGAGCGGGCCGGCATGAGTTGCCAAACCAACGCTTGAGTTGCTCTGCTTCCCAAGCGAAAAACAGGCACAGGGAAGAAACAATGACAGGCGGTGGGTTTCAAGCAAAGTGATCTGGTCGTCACCTCCCAGGTTCCCGCGCACGCCTTGGCGTGGCCACAGCACACTACCAGCGCCGTCTTTTCCCAGGCGGCCGCCTCGTCCAACCGCTGCTTCAGCCTCAAACATGCGGGGGGCGAGGGGAGGAGCATGGCGGAATGTGCGGAACCACAAGACACGGGCAATGGTCAGTTGTTGGCTGTGGATTGTTGGCCTGGTAGTGCGACGCGCAAGTGCGCAGGCGCAGGTTTAGTTGAGAAATGGGGCTGGCCCCCGCATGTGGTGCAAACATCATCGCAGCAGAACTTTGCAAAACTCGGGGAGCCATCAGAAAGGGTTGAAGTTGAGACTGCTCTTTGTTGTTTAGGCGGTCGGCATAGGTGCGCAGTGTGACACCTTGGCTATGGGGGTTTCTTCCTCAGAGCTGGTGCAGGGAAATATGTCCGGCATCACCTGGACCAGTTTTCCCCTGATAGCTCGATACCAACCTCTAACCAAGCCCAAGCCAACCCCCAAAATCCGCCAGTTGGGGAGCATTTTTGACAGGGACTGTGAAAGAGAGGGGAATGCTGTGAGTGGTGTGTTTTTCTGTGTCTATCACTCATTCTGCAAACGTAGAAACTGGTCATTTTGTAGCAAAGCAAAGGCAGTGGCAGAGGACTTATATATGGACTCAAACAAGGAAAAGTATCAGTTGGCATGAATTGATTCAACTTAATAGCATCTACACTTGAAAGAGTAGAACTGAAATTGAACATGGTTATCGAGTTGTTGTTGTCTGTTTAAGCTTTGAAAGGTGCAGGCCAATTGAAAGCAACAATGCGTTATTTCTGTATTAAATTCCATTCAACATCTAGCTGGACATGGATTCCTATTGAAGCTCTAGCTTAAGATAGAAAATATGTTTAAACCGTTTCCTGACTAAATTTCGGCTAATTGGAACCAATTGAACATCAAACTTGCTTGGACGCAAAGTTTTTTCCCAAAAGAAATGCAAACACAAATCGGGGAAATTATTGGCATACCCCATAAAGAGCAAGCAACATTGGCAGCTAGCAAGGGTGAGTAGAAAATCAGACAAAACGAACCAAGAATTCGGACAACATATGGCAAGGGAAATTATTGGCCTAGCCCATCATCTCTGCTAGAAGATTGTGTTGTTTATTTGTTTGATTTCACGATGTGTTTTTGCGGTTGTAGGTGAGTAAGATCCAAGCAAGTCCTTTGTCAGATTGGTTTGCAAGGTGTCGTGTTGTTGTTTTGTGTCGATCTCTCAAGGTGCTTTTCGGTTTCAGACTTGTAAGTGAGTAGTAGGATCAAACCGCTTCCTTTGCCAGACTGCTCTTGTATTTTGCGTGTGGTTCCCCAATTTTTCGAGGTGTTTTTCGTTGTCTCAGAAGATCAGAGGCCAACGGTAAGGAGGCAAAAGTGGTTGGGCCCAAAAACCCACTCAGGACATCCCTTTCTGTGAAAGTGCTTGGCCTTGAACCAGGGAGTGGGATCTGAACTGTCCTTGGCCTATGGAGTGGAGCTGCCAGGCTATGGATGCTGCCCCACACCTCCCTGATGGACTAGTCTCAGCAACACTTCCGACCCTTGTGGAAGCCATGCCTGACACCAGCCAGTGAAAGCGAAAAAGCCAAATTACAGCTGCTGCATTTGGGTATGGCTCAAAATTAAACAGGAGGGGTACGCAAGTTTTAGGCTTTGGTTCCACTTACCAGGGTTCCATTTTGGTACCGGTTTTTGAGCCACAGCCATTTGGGGCGATTACCACAAGGAGTTCAGACTGTGCGGTGAATGAAGAAGCTCGCGGCTTTTGCCACCGTCCGCGTATTTGTTCACCACGTTCCTACCAGAAACTCCTGTAAAAGGGGCATATGCTTTGCATGATGTTGATTACAATGTCTTTGTTGTACTATGAAAAGCGGACATATTGCAAGGACTGCAACATGCAAGCAATGTCAACAGATATTAATTGCCCTGTGGAACTAAACCAAGGCCCTTAGAGTCGTCCGGTGTTTTCGTTCCTTCAGTTCCCATATCAGCTTTCCCAGGCCTGTGCTCAGGCAAATGCTGGCAATCGGATCTCATGATTTGCAGGGAGTGCGGAGTGAAATGGCTGTGGTTGTCAAAACCGTTTTGGATCCCATTTTGGGGTAGGTGGATTCACCTTCCATTTTGGTCTATATTTCAGTGGTTGGAGTGGGAGGGTACGATTTGGATTTTGACCCATGGCCAAATGGTAAGGGGAAGTCGGGCAGGTCCAGGGGGCCCAATCGAAGTGCGCCAAAGGGCTCCTTGAAGCCAATCTTCACGGGCCACTCAGGTGGCACCTCCGGCTCCTGACAGGATTGGCTGGGCGCGCTCGCAGCTCATTTCCAGCACCCGAATGGTGGCACGGGCAGCATGATGGTGATGCACACCATGACGCAGGCATCATAATAACGCAGAAGGCATCGGAGTGACTCAGGAGGCATCATAGTGACCCAGGCAGCATCCTGACGCTCATAGCACCAATAGCATCATGAGGTAGCATCAGGGCACTGCTGGAAGCATTGCCGCGTAAGGGGCACAACTCCTCGTACCCCAAACCGAACCCCCTGCTGAAACAACCAAGATTTTGCAAGAGGACAATGGCTTTCAGCTGCCATCCCAGGCAGCTAATTTCCAGCATTGGCGAAAGCAGCCCAAACCTTAAAGACTGGGATGCTTGGAGACATTGCTGCAACTTGTTGCACTGGCAGGGTTGAGTTGTCACATTCCCACTGGCGAACATCCACTTGCGGAATCAAGAAATCAAGCGTGCAACCTTCATTGCATCAAAGCATTCAGCATTTGGGCTGTCGCTCCTTACAGTTGGCCGCTCTTTGTAGCGCTGTATGACATGTTTTAGAATACAGCGGCGGCTAGCAAACAACTGATGTATATGCTTCCCCAAATCAGCAATTCCACAAAGGCCTATGCAGCCCACGCATGTATGATGCCCGAGCAACACATGAAAAAGGCCAGATGCGCTTAAATCCAAAAGCTGACCTACGCCAAACACAAACCCCAATGTTTTTGCACAACTGTGTCCCGCACAGCCCGCAAAAGAAAGGATTTGGTGGAATGTCTTGGAATCAGCCCCACCCCCCCCCCCAGCCCCCTGACAGGTCACCGACACATTGCCATCCGCCACATGTGAATTGGGTGCTTCGAAGCAAGGCGGGGCCCATCCTCAAGGAGTTTTGCTGGGGGGGGGGGTGCCTCTCAAGATGGCCAGACAACCTCAAAATCAAACAGACATGACACACGACAGTGGGCCCCTTTAAGCGAGACTTAGTCTTCGGCAAGGTCGTCGGCCAAGGTCCAGCATGGACCTTGGCAGCTGTGACAAAAAACGATGAATCCATTGGGATGCTCTCAAATCCTGATGTTTGGTTCCATATACCGAAACGGAACCACCAAAGTTTTATGTTTTACATGGGCCTCTCTGATGGTACCAAAAACTCCATGAAGTAGAGCCCCGTACTTTTTCCCCAACATGTTGTGTCCTGCTCATGTGAATCCACCCCACTCGCCCTGCATCCTTCGGTTTCACCTTCTCCTCCGGCGGCAGAGACTTCTTCCACTCACGCCGCGAAGCCTCCAGCAGCAGTGCCAAGTCGTAGGCCTCACCCACAGTGAGCCTCGAAACCGTCCAAAACTCCGAAGAAAGAAAATAAAGCAAAGAAAGCAAGGAAGGAAGAAAGAGCGAAAAGAAAGAACAGAAAAAGAAAAGAAAAGGACGAAAGGAAGACAAAGAAAGAGATGAATCAACAAAACAATAGCTAGCAAGCTACCACCAAAGAGAACGCAACAAAAAAAGCTCAGGCGTTTCCAACCACCTCATCCAACAACCTGTTCATTGGTCCGTCTAATGGAGCCATCTGCCCATCCATCCGTTCACCGGCGCATCCTTAAATGGGTGTTCGGACCTGGCATCTGTTTTCACGAGTCTCTGGACAGTATTCACGCTCACATCACATCAACTTATGCGTGTGTGAGTTCGTGAAGGCATCCCTTACTCTTTGAGCTGAGATGATCAATGGCCAAAAGTTGCGCTTTTGTTCCGAATCCTCCTTGAAGTAACATCGCACTGTTCAAATCAAGGTGCATGGCTTCACGCACATGCTCTATTGTTGGCTGTTTGGTTGTGTGGGCTCGATGCCGACAATGCTTCAAATCCTGTGAATCGCTTCATGGGTGGTTTCAAGCCAGGCGCTGCAAGATATTCTTCACATTTCTTCACAAATGCATGGTCTGACTCATAGATAAAAAAAAAAAGACTTGCTAAGTCCTTCCACCATTGATTGGATCATATCATGCTGACCGTGTCTGTCCATGCGGACACGTGGCGCATTCTTGCCGGAAGCAAGAAAATCCGGCTGCCCAAAGTCAAGCTGGGGCTAGCCTCTTCTTGGTCATGCTGACAGTCACAAAGACGAACAACGGAAGCTGGCCCTTCTTTGCATGAAATGTGATCGAAGCTGCTATTTTGGAGACCCTCGAACGCGCAGCCTCCTCAAAGCCAAGCAAAACAGTTCACTCATTGCAAAACAAAATAAGCTGGCTTCCGGAGTCGGTGAGATGCACAGGATCATGATACACAAGTGTGGCATCACGTCTCTTAAAAGAAGAGTTGCCACGAGCGCAGACTGGAGGGAGAACTACTGACTAAATACTTGAATGTATTGCTTCTACGCAATTGCTCGTTTATCGGCTCCTGGTACCCTGTTGGACCCATGTTGTTGCCCCATTCTTAGCATTTGCTGGCTTCTGGCTAGCCATGGAAATCCCCTCTTTGGTAATTCTTGGGGCAATCGTCATGTCCCGGAAAAAAAAAAAAGGACAGGCCCCTATTTGCGGTGCCTTGGAAAACACACAGGGTAAGAGGCCCTCTCCCGCCCTCGTGCCTTGGACTCCGGCGTCAGCTCCATTTCGGCGTCGCCAAGAATCTTGTCCTCGGAGCCGCCACGAGTTTTTGGCATTGGGCCTCGCGGGCTGACGACTTGCACATAATTGTTTGTCTTTTGCTTGGTGAAGTCATCGATCACATGGTGCTTGAAATTTGGCAAACAAGTGCATCAGTTCCAGGTCTATCTTGGATAGCGCGCATGCTTCGGACCCGCGGGAAACTCAGAGATCGAATGTACAAGCGTGACAAGAAACATCATTGTGCGACAGGTACCCAGGAAGAACCAATCCATCATCATTCATGCACCTTTTATTGAGGAGACCCCTCAAATCGTGGTTTTCTCTTGGTTTCCAATTGAAAACCAACACACAAAAGGGTACCCTCCAAAAAAAGGACACCCATTTGACTCTGTCAAAATGAAGTGTCCTGCCGAATGGCGTTCGCAAGAATCCCTGTCGACAAATATGACCATGCATTTGTTCCAGACATCCTCAGTTCCTTCTGTTGGTCCCGCGTGCAGTGTCGTGGCCAGAGCACCATGCGCTGCATGATGAGCTTCGTGATGTACTTCCCTGCTTCCATCTCCAGCATCTCGCCCAGAAACCTGAGATGCCAAGCAAGGAACAGCACGCGAAACCTGGTGATGGTCTCATCTTGTAGTATACAGTATTACCCTCCCACCAACTAACATGGAAGTGCAAAAAGGCCAACCAACCAAGAGGAAAGTCGTCTTTCTACAGGGGTCTGTGCACTTCCATGTTTGCTGGTGGGAGGGTATATGGCTTCACATCCCTGGTCACTCCTGGCTTCAGCGGTCCGGGTTTTCTTGTGTTGCTCAAAGAGGGAGTATGAGAGCCCCAATTCTGATGTGGTGCACAACCCCTTTCAATCAACGCAGTTGTGGCATATCAAATATCAAAGGAAGAAGCGTGCTGTCTAAGGATTCCGCAGTACCATCCCGAAAACTTCAAATGCGTTGCCCAGCTACCCCCCCCCCCAGGCAAGGCAAGAGCATTTAAGCAGTGCAGAAACAGAAGCAGCATGGCATTGCTTGTTGCGAACAACCCAAGAGATGCCCACTCAGTCAGTCGAAAACGCAGCCAACTCACTATGACTGGCTGCACGAAGATACGGCAAACAGCAGTTCCCTTCATGAAATGCAGCACATGACGTGCATCCAGGGCAAATGTAGGTGTGTAAATGATAGATGCCAATCGTTCTCGGTCACACGGAGACACTGGAAATGAACCCTCCAACCGCGGACAAGGTTGAGCAGAGAATTCTGCCAACGTTTAACCAACTTCCAGTGGGTTGTCCATAGGGTCTGATTGTCCCACATTGCAAGCCACGCTGAGCATGCACTGGCTGCAACACCCATCGGAACCCATCGGAACCGCTCGACCTGGAACCAACCCGGCTGCAAATCTCCGGAACCCTTCCCAACCGCTTCATAGACCCGCCTTCTGGAACCCTCCAATCGACAACCGCTACAGTCAACCTGCAACCCGCAAAACTTCCCGGAACCCTCCAGAATCTCCCAAAACCTTCCGGAACCCTTGGAGGCGGTCTACATGTTGCCTGCTGCCCCCTGCTGCAAAAGAAGTTCACCCACGGGATCCTGGAACACCTGCTTTTCCCTGAGTGTTCAACCCTGCAACATGTGTTGTTGCGCCTCATTCTTCCATCAAGAACTGCGTTGCCGAAGTATCGCCAACGTGCTTTCGCTCACTGCATTCCCGGTAGCTTCTTGGCATCCTTGCAGGACTGCTGCGCATTCTTCCAGCTCAAGTCGTCCTTCTCGCCGATGTAGGCAAGCATAAGGCGAAGAATCAATTGCTCCTCAAACCCCCCGGGTTCGGCAGCAGTGTGTTCGGTCCATAAAGCATGAGTCCATTCATGTCAACCGATTGAACCCAAATCTCCGTGGTCAAGCAAAAGAACATGCACAATCCTGCAAGGCTGCATATTCTGGAATCAACCCTCTTTGCCTACAGCCCTGGGTTCTTTGCTGTCCCATTCGAAAGTTAAAAAGGTCAGCAGGATGCAATGGTCCTGTGGTGGTGGTGACTGCCCAAAAGGCCTCCATACGCTGCCCTGGATGGCTTTTTTTGGCTTGACACATCAACTCGCAGGAAATGAAATAGGATGTATGGTTCTAGTCTGCTGATGGCTCTTCTCTTCATATCGAACAAAATGAGGAACAGTCGCTCTTCTTTGCAGACCATGTTTCGAATGGCGCTTGGATGCTGGTGCAGGATGCGAATGTAAGCTGTTGCTTGTTTGATTGGGTGTGTGTCTTGGTGATAGCTGTTTCTATCCTATGTCAAGAGTTGCAAGTTGGTCTGAGTGATTGGGCTTGGTTCTTCCTTGATATTGGAGAGTGTCAAATCTTCTCACATCCTGATATGTATTTCTGTATGTTGGGATGTCCGTTGATCTTGAATGTCCAGGGTCAACCTGGACAAAGTTTGCACTCGGCTAGCTTCGAGTCGGTAGTTGAGTTTCCTGGTGTGCCACGTTGCTCTCGCAACGACCTAGCAAGAGTAGCCGAACCCACAAATCACCCATCCAAGCCAACAATCGCAAATCATCCAATCATCCAAGCCCCCCCCCAACATCAGCCCCTTGGGAAACCGCGAAACCGCCGGCTCCCCACCGGTCGTTTCGCCGCAACCCCCCGCCTGCTCCGAAGTACTCTCCGCCAAGGCCTCCAGGGTGCTGGGCAACATCTTCGCCACCCGCTCCTCCGCCTGCAAGCCACGTGACCGGAGTTCCCCATTCTAGGGGGACCGTCCGCCCATTCTTTCCAGAAACCTCCGGAAAGCCTCCTTCTAGGGATCCTTCTTTCTGGCAAAAAAACGGGAAACCTGGGAAAGCGGATCCGGTTTTTGGAAAGAACGGTGGTTGAAAAGAATGGAAAATCAACCCCTAGAATTCTGCAACGCCCTCGGAGGATTCCTCAGTCAAATCCTCTGGAACTTGGCTCGCGCCAGACTCACACCGATGCACGTGGAGCTTCTGAGAGCAGGCGCTTCTCACAAGCCGCGTGTGTCGTTCTTCCCTGTGATCAGCAAAGTGCAGGAGTCCAAGAGCAAATCGGCAGTGAGGAACATCGCCCTGCGTAAAGTTCGACGAATCATACCCGTGATCAATCGTAGGCATCTCAAACAAGCGCTATTCACCAGGACAGCTCATTTCAGAACCAGAGCCTATCTGATATGTCCGAAGGACCGGCAGCAAGGCAGCTTTCAACTGACCATACCCAGATAGTTTTGAGAACGAGTACTTGCAAGTAGAGATATTGGCTGCTCCGAAAGAGAATCTTGTTGGGCCACAAAGGCCGATCGGAACCGGCCCCATCGTCGAAACCCGAAGGGCCTGCTTGGGGCTGAGAACTCCGAAGGCAGGCGGCGCCTAGCTGCAAACACTCGCACTGCATGGCTTACTTGCCTCGCATCCAAAAAGGGACGCACATGTTTGAGGCTGGTATTGGCTGTTCGACTCTTGAAAGAGAGCGGAAAAAGAGAGAAAAGAGAGAGAGAGAGAGAGAGAGAGAGAGAGAGAGAGAGAGAGAGAGAGAGAGAGAGAGAGAGAGAGAGCGGAAAGAAAGGAAAAAAAGAAAGAAAATCGAAAGAGAAACGAAGGAGAAGAGTGCTTCAGCTGCATGTTGGAGTAAGTAATACAACGACATTGCTCCTTGATCTCGTGTCAGCCATGTTGGCAAGGCCGAAGAAACAAGTGGGAATCAAGAAATCTCGCAACGTCCAAGCAGGAATCCCGGAATTTTGAGCAAATGATGGGACAACTGCGCATCTTCTCTCTCTCTCTCTCTCTATCTCTCTCTCTCTCTCTCTCTCTGTCTCTCTCTCTCTCTCGCTCTCTCGCTCTCTCTCTCTCTCTCTCTCTTCTCTCTGTCCCCCTCTCCCTCTTACTCGCTCTCTCTCCCTACAACTCTATAAGAGCATGGCCACAACGTTGACATGCTTAGCGGCGGGCATCCTGGAGGGAATGGAACATGATGATTCCCATTGAGATTTGCACGGAATCTGTCTTCAGCGTCCAAAAGTCGCCCCCCTGCCTCCTTTGCTAGGCTCGCGGCATCAGCCTGAATTGAAATCAACGACGTGCAAGGCAAGCAGCAACAAAGTAAGACGCACTTCACCCAGATTCAAACAATCCGGCTGGCCCTATGATGTCCGTGGATAATGCGCCTGTACGAGAATCAGCACCGAGAGCACTCACAGTATATGACTACCAGCATGAAGGGTATTGAAGCAAACTTTGCAGACCTTTCGTGCACGGATATCGCCGGAAGTCCTAGCAACCCAAACAAAAGTGCCAATGCTTCGCGAAAGTTTTCGCCACAAACCGCGCCTTTGTCTTCGACGCCTCCTTCGAGGCCTCCTTTCCCTTGGGCGCCACCACCGCCTTCGCCGCCACCCCCAGCGGACTGGGCGCCTTCGCGGCCTTCTTGGGCGCCATGGCGTCCGTGCGGTCTGCTTTTGGGGGGTTGATGCAAAGGTCCTTTACATAGGTTGACCCTTGGGGGGAAGCTACAAAAACGATGACACGTCCCGCTACATGGGAAAAGTTACGCATGGTCAGTTGGGAGCCAGAAGATTGATCAACCCCCGCTTGTTTGTTGGTGGCTCGGCGTTGTCGCTGGACGGCTGTCGTGAACCATGATCTTCTTCAGTACTGAATCAACCCTCTTGGCCAAGCCGCAAGTGAACGAAAGTCAGTCACGATACATACAATGCCACATCATAGGATGATAAGCCGACTCTGTCTTGAGACTATGGCAGTTGGCACACCTGTGCCCTTCCCCCCCTCACCCCACGGGTGCCAGCTGACGGTCCCAAGACCAGGTGCCCTGCATCCACAGCTTGGACCACGGCAGCCTTGGGCTCACTCAGCTGCCCCGAAGGTTGCACTCCCAGTGAGCTGGAAAACCCGCTGAAAGGCGTGCAAGCTGTGGCAAACACCTTTCAGCCCTCTCCCAAAGAGAATTCAAACGGCTTGTCATTCCTTGGCACTACATTCATTGAACCAAGAGGCAATTTCTCGGACGCGAGACGTTCCATTGCAATGCAGCCGGGTGTCTGGATCCGTCGCATTGAAGGACACGGAGTAGGTGATAGCAATGACCTCAACATCATAAGTACGCCGCTCTGGGAGGTGAAAAGGGGCAAAGGAAAACCAACACGGCTCATCCAATTTCTGGAAGTGATCAGCCGCAGGCCCAGGGTACAATCACACCGCCTTACAAAGGTGGCATGCATTCATTGGCGCAATTGCCATGACCTCAGGTGGCGTCAAGTGCTTCACAAACAGCTACATCTTCAAGACGGACAACGTAACTTGAGAAAATGCAACTTGAACTCAAGCCAATGTCCAAGGGAAACAAAAGTAGATAGGTTGAGGATAAGACATCTGCAACCTTGAATCAGGCCCACTAGCTCGACTCCATGCGGTATGAATCTCCCCCATTCACTCAGGCAAATTTGGGGGCCAACTGGTGCAAACAACAACCTCCGCGCGCTGTTGGATTTGCCCCGAAAGTTTCTCATTAACTCCTTGTCCGATCGAGGACCCGGCCGAGTATATGATCAAAGCACCCATGAAGAGGTCCCATCTCAGCAATCAGTGCGACTCACTCGTCTGTGTGCAACCTCTGCATGCCCAAAGCCTGGAGTTCCACAAAATGAAAAGGCTCATGACTCATGATGTTCTTTATTGAGCGAGAAATGTCTCGGTAGAACTTGATTCGCGAAAGAAAGGCAAGATCCCAAGCCTTCGAGCATTATTCTCCCTGGCCATCCTGCAGATCAGATTGAACAATCCCATACGCGTTCAACAAAGTGTTGATGTGGCCCTTGTTCTCTCAGCATATGAGTGACAATCAAAACCCGGTATTAAAATGGTCTACCCAGAACCATGTAAAGAAGTAAGAAGGCGGCCGCAACTGTTTCTGGCTGGGACTGCCCCTTACTAACCTTCATCGAACCTTACGCCTGCCTGTACCAGACCACGCCGCTCCGGAACCTTCCTTGAACCTGACACTGGAACCTGCACCTTACACCTGGTGCAGGCAGGTGTAAGGTTCAGGGAAGGTTCCGCAGGTTCAGTGGTCTAATGCCTGTAAGGTTCAAGGCAGGTTCCGGAGGTTCCGGGGTGGTCTGGCACAGGGCAGAAGGTTGGTTGCGGGGTGGTCTGGTGTGTAAGGTTCAAGAAAGGTTCCGGAGGTTTCGGGGTGCAAGGTTCAAGGCAGGTTCTGGAGGTTTTGGGGTGGCCTGGTGCAGGCCAGGTGTAAGGTTCAAGGAAGGTTCCGGAGGTGGTTCAAGGAAGGTTGTGGAGGTTCTGGGGTGGTCTGGTCAGGCCAGGTGCAAGGTTGAAGGAAGGCTCCGGAGGTTCCGGGATTGGTCGGTTCAACGGGGTGGTCTGGTGCGGGCCCGAACCTTCCTTGAACCTCACACCTGGCCTGGCGTCAACCTTACATTTGGCCTGTACCAGACCGCCAGAACCTCCAAAACTTCCGGAACCTTCCTTCCACCTTACACCTGGCCATTTCGGGAACCTTGAACCTTACACCTGGCCTGCATTAGACGACTGAACCTCCAAAACCTTCCTTGAACCTTACGCCTGCCTGTACCACACCCCTCCCGGGCCTGCACCAGACCAGCCCGAAACTTCCGAAACCTTCCTTGAACCAGACCACACCGAACCTTACCATTAGACACTCCGGAACCTTGCTTGAACCTTGCACCTGCCTGCACCAGACCACCCGGAACCTTACACCTGGCCTGCACCAGACCACCCCGCAGACACCAGCCCGAAACCTCCCTGTACACCTTGCACCACCACCCCAAACCTCCGGAACCTGCCTTCAACCTTACATTTGGCCTGCACCAGACCTTATGGCCTGCACAAGAACCTCCAGAACCTGCCTTGAACCAAACCAGAACCTCCGCAACCTGCCTTCAACCTTACACCTGCCTTCAACCTTACATTTGGCCTGCACAACCTTACACCTGCCTGCACTCAACCTTACATTTGGCCTGCACCAGACCACCTGGCTTACATTTGGCCTGCACCAGACCACCTGGCCTTGCACCAGAACCTCCGGAACCTGCCTTCAACCTTATACTTGGCTCCGGAACCTGCCTTCAACCTTACATTTGGCCTGCGCCAGACCACCCCGCAGACCACCCCGGAACCTCCACAGAACCTCACACCTGGCCTGCACCTAGCCTGCGCCAGAACCTCCGGAACCTGCCTTGCTGCCTGCAACCACACCACCCCGACCCTCTGCAACCTGCCTTCAACCTTACATTTGGCCTGCACCAAACCACCTGAACCTCCGGAACCTGCCTTCAACCTCCGGAACCTGCCTTCAACCTTACATTTGGCCTGCACCAGCTGGCCTGCACCAGAACCTCCTGCCTGCACCAGACATCCCCGAAACCTCCGGAACCTTGCTCGAACCTGACTTAGAGCTCCCCAAGCCACCCCCAAACCTTAGGGGGTCTCAGCTGTTGGGGAAAAAGGGCTGGATTGGACGGGAGTAGCTTCAACTGCACCTGGGCTTGGTTGGAGGGCGCGCATGGGCTTTGTCCGTTGTTGTGGGAACAAGTACCAACACAGGTGTTTGTAGCCGAATGTGTGTTTGTCCACCAGAACCAGCGGCCCAGAGCCCACTGCAAGTTTCAACATGACCCCTGCAGCGAGCTTGGCGAGAGAAAAGCTGCTGTTTGTGGGTACCCGGCCAACAGGCACTCTGGTGGCCGGGGCAATGGCAGAGGCTTGCTGGGGCCGGCGCATGATCTTCCGCGAGTCGTTGGCCGGTATCACCCATCTCCTCGGCAAGCATAGCCCTTATCTTGAGGACCGCCCTGACCTGGGACTTCGCTAAATAAGGATTGCTCAATCTGAAAAGGCTCCTAACACTCGAGCACCTCTCACATGTACTTCTGGATTTCAGCAGTTCCCTGCATTCTGCCGCATGTGCTTCAAATGGCATACGCTGTACATTTCGTACCACCGCAACACGCCTACCACACAGGCCGAAACCGCCCGACAGGCCCAAAATGCCGCAGCAAATGCACGCCCAACAGCCAAGGCACTTCAAGATGTCTTGCATGGTCTCCGACTCGGAAATGACCTTCCCGTTCTTGTCCCGGCGTTTGGTGATGATCCTCTGGACCTTCTCCTGAGCACGAAAAGGCCAAGCAGCCAAAACGAAGACCGCATCCAGTGGAGTGGAGGAAACTCTGAAAGAGCCCGAATAGTGCTTGCCCCTGCCCACGTGTAGATCTATTCTCGAGCATAGTTGCGATGAGCCTGACTAAGCTGTTTGAAAAACGTGGCTTCGCCATCGGCAATTTTCAAGAATTGGAAGCAAACATAAAAAAGCGAGTGTTGGACAATTATCATTGGAACAATACTCAGATACGCCCCAGAAACAGTGGGTTGATTAGCGCATGCATTGTGTGTGTGTGTGGTTTATCAGGTGAAAAGACTTGCTCAAGGAATCCAACAGCCACCAAGAGGGTTCGTCTCGACATTGCCTGGCATGATAGGCAGCTGAAGCAACTGGGCTAGATTTGTTCATTCCACTCAGCAAGCGAATGGGATTCGCTTGCCCCAAGGTTACACTTTAATTTACGTGAAACCGCATACGAGTCACTGCAACTGTTCTCGGTCAGATTCCCCTCAAATTGCCAACTCACTTCTGCACGCCCCAAACATACCACCGGGCTACCGATGTTCGTCTGCCAGCCGATGTGTGTGTGTGTGGGTTTGTGTGAGAGAGGTCCTAAGAACATTGACGCTCCTATTGTGGCGTTGCGCCTTACTATGGTTCTCTAAAGCAGCCTGCGTTCAACAGCCCGTTGTTATCAACCATGGTTCAAAGTGGTGCGAACGGATTTCGCAACCATCCACAGTATCTACCCAAACCCCATCCACCTGGATCATCCCCGCCAGAAGACATATGTGCTGAGGCAGCGGCCAACGATGCCTGTGGCAAACATAAATGCATGTGCTTCTGTACACGTGAAACAATGCTTCTGAGAAAGATGAAAATTTGAATCCTAAAGTGATGTCTTATCCCTGCTTCTAAGTACCCAGGAAGGAAAACCTAGTGGTTGGCAAACTTGAAATATTGAGTCCAAGGCCAGGAAAGCTTGTAGCACTTCGCCCGCCTTGGCATCAAAAAGAAATGTCAGCACAAAATAAAACAATTACTTGTTCCACTCATCTGAGTGTGGTTGCGTAGTGCTTCGAAGTACGTACGGAGTCTAAATGGGAGAAACAGATGCATTGTAGATCTTTGGGGGGGCACGATGCGTATGTATATATATATATGTACATGTGAGTGTGAAAAATAAGCTGCTCCCTCCCCACCGCCAGTACCCTGTCTGAGCCTGTCAAGAAAACTAGTGACCTTTGGCACATGATACGCCGACGTATCTGCCTAATTGACACGCAGTTCACAGACGAGGGACTGGCCATCTACAAATGCACCAATGGGTAGCTCAAGCCCTCAGCGAACTCTACAGTTGATTCCAATAAGGATGTCCTTCTGGGTAGCTTGCCTGCAACGTTTGGGCGATCAGGTGCATCATGTGGAAAGCTTCTCCCTCATGTGTGGTTTGGTGTTTGGGAGGTTAGAGGGTGGTTTCGCCTTTACCCTCTACAAGAACCAGGCGTTTAAGTTCAAACCCCCAAGCCACCAATCCAAATCACCAATCACGTACCTGAGCCTGCGTCAGCCAGTCAACACGTAGCCAAGAAGCAAACTGTTCAGCTATGTTGTGCGCTGAACGATCTAGCCGGAATTAGCGCTTGGCATGGTGAAATATTGGAGCTTCATAGCAAATCAACTAAATGTTGCCCGGTCGCAGAAATGGCTTCTGTCAGTTTCAGCTTGTAGGGCTGATACCATAAGTCGGGCAGCTTTTCCCAATGGTGGTCGGTTCGCTGAGTGAAATCGGCACCTGTACTTCGTGAACACTTCACAGCATATTGTTCATGAACCATCATGCGGATGTGTCTGATAGCTATACCTCCCAAACTGCCAAAGGATGGCACAAATTTTGGGGCGCACATGAGTCACTCAACCATCTGGGAAATTTTGCATTGCGCATTGCGCATTTCGCGGCTCATCTCAGATGCCCGGTGGCCATGGGAAAAATTGGCATCCCTTTTTTCGCTTGATTGCATGTAAAGGGGAACCATTCCCCAAAAAAAAAGAAAAAATCGTGCCACTGGGCAACAGAGTCATGCAAGTCCTGTGCAAAAACTCAGCGCTTTGTCGCCAGTCCATTGCTCCCTCCCCAGAGTGCGGTGGGCTCTCCGGCCTGGAGGCCGTCGTCCACCTCTTCAAAGATCTGCGCAGGTCAGCCGTGGCCAAGCGGCTCTCTCACTGAGTTCGCTGAAATGGGGTACAGCGGAAAACAAAATGGGTGTGGGTCAAAATTAAGCCACCAGGGGACCGCAGGTTTTCTTCTTGGGTTCCATTTACCAGGGTTCCATTTTGGGTACCTATTTTTGACCCACAGCAATGGCCATGGGTCAAAATCCAAATCGTACCTCCAGTCAACATCCCAATCCAACCACTAAAATAGACAATCGGTGGTGAATTCACCTACCAACCAAAATGGGATCAACCACAACGGTTTTGACCACCACAAACAAATGGAAGCCACCGACGTTAGTCCTTGCAGCTGTTGCCTTTGCTCTTTGACCGACAGAAGAACAAGAAATCTTCAGCTCGTTGGCTTGGAGAAACTTTGCTGGCAGGTTGAACACCTTTTGATGTCTCCAGCAACTGTCAGCACCTTGCGATTGGAGGATGACTCAATGAAACATGACCTGGCAATCCAACTATGCACCGGCAGACGAGCTTCTGCAGCTCCCAAAGTTGGGTGCCTCAAACAAACAGTTTCACCGATAAACATCGAGAACACATTCAAGCATGACTATGCTCATGCAACTCCGATTTGTTGCAGTTCGTGTTCAACTTTCCCGCGCAGAAGTGGAACTCAAATAGCGTAGCTGGACAATAGGTCATGTGCATTGGCTCAATGCAGCAGCTTGTCAAGCCGCTCTGCGTTTCTCATGCCACGTGCGGAGCGAGGGATGCTCGGAATGGGAAGGCCTTGCCGCAAATTCGTTCGACCTGGTGGAAAGTGCACTCTGCCACGGATGTGCTTAACATTTGGCTGGCATTCGTCCTGGAGCCAGCGCAGTGGGTGTGCGTCTGGTGTGCCACAAACAAAGACCCTCCCGACATGTCGTCAAAGGCACTTAAAGCCGCAAGGCTTTTGTGCAGCTACCTCATTGAGATGTACGTGGCTTTTGACAGGCATCTCCTCGTTGATCCACCAAAAGCCGTGGTATGTTTGCCTGATGTTCAGAGTCGCCTGACCATATCCTGAGTATTGTAAGTGAAAACCCACTTACATGGATCATATGTGAATAAGCATGTATTTCAGGGACATCCTTATACCTGACAGAGAAAAGCAGATACAAGCTGCAGTGATGCAAACGACAAACCTTGTGTTTGGCTCCAAATCATTCTCTAGCATTCCATTTGGAGAGGACCTAGTACCTCAAAAGGTGCCTTCCAACCTCAGACCTCACTGGCTGCACCCGCCCAAGCTCCAGCACCTCCTTCGGCAGATTCCGCGCATCTGTGGCCTTGCCCCGGTAGACCTAGGCTGAGCCAAGTTTGCCTCGCAGGGCGAAGCAAGCTGTCGTCGGACACCTGTTGGATTGACGTCAACACCAACTCCCCTATTTGGGCACGGAGGTCAGAAGCAAATGCTTTGAGCCATGCAATGGCCAGCCTCTACTTTCAAGAACCGTCCAGGATCTGATGACCTTCTCAAGAATCAACAAGCACAATGCCATCATCCAAAGCAGCACACTTTCTTGAAAACAAAAGATTCCTGCAACTTCCAGCGGGTCGACTCTAGCACCACAACTTGCTTGCATTTTCTGATTCAGCAAAACCTGACCCCAGAATGACATGTATGCAATGAAGAGGAACCCTCACAACATGATTTTGTTGGTTGGCTTGTCACGAAAAGCATCGTTCCACATACTGTACTTGTGTTTGGGAGCACACACGCAAGGAACTATTGGCGGTAATCGAGGGAAACCCTGCCGGTGTTTTGAAGCTGCATGCACGCAAGAAAAAAAGACGCGCTGTGCTGGTAGATCAAGGAACCCCGCCCGAGAATACTTGCGGTCTATATACAAAGGACTAGCGCCGATCACGGAAACCTCGCCCCGAGGCGTTTCATTCTGGGGGGCACCTGCGGGGCGCAAAAAAATGCCTATGCCAACAGAGCAAGAAAAGCTCTGCCCCAACTTGATGAGCTGGCAACTTGCCTTACCCACATGCTGTTTGCCCTAAAGCCAAGAACTTCCCCAGCTTGGTCACGACGGTCAACATGAACGTATGGCTTTCTGAATCCCACTGACATTGCGGTGGAAATGCCGTCTGTCGTGTTCGGGAGAGTTCCTTGCCAGCGAGGCCCGGCCAGCCTTGCTTTCCCCACTTCAACCGACTCGGCCACTGGGAACAAATGGCTACCTCCCGCAAACCAAAAGACTTTGCCGTGTTGGTGCAGCAATAAGTGTAGCTCTCCGCTCCAAACATCGAAACTCGCCCTGTCCCGTGCTGAGCCAACCCGCCACCAGGCTCTTGATCCGCTGACTTCCCTGGGCCCATCGAGGCAACAGTGAGTGGGACATGGGACATGAAGCTCCTGGCAAAGAACTACCAATGAGAACATTGAAGATCTCCTTTGGGATATATATATATATATGTATCATATAATATGCATACAGCATGTATTATATGCTATATATGGATACGTATATATATATATATATATATGTATTAAAGAGTGAAAGGGCCATTTTCCAATGAAACCAAACTTGGCGGCTCAAACGCCAGGGATGCAAACGCGGAGGTCTGAGCAAAGCCGCTCCATTCCATGAAGCCGGATTCGGCGCTTCGCCGAGATCCGGACTTCACATGGCAATTACTTGACCATAACACTAAATGCAGCCCCGTAAATTCTCACGGACTGTACCTGATACTGCTGTCCTAATCACCATCCCACCTGTACAAAGAAATGAGCCCCCGAACGCATGTTCTGATTCCGATGTACGCAACCAGCCTTGGCCTGAGCCCTACAAAGCCAGGCGACCTGTGGGGCGTTCCACTCCGGCGAGAGGATGGCGCGAGCGAGCTCCTGCGGTGATTTTCTGTGGGTCAAAACCAGTGGGATCCCATTTTGGTTGGTAGGTGCACCACCCATTTTAGAACCTATTTTAGTGGGGATTGGGATGTTCACTAGGGGTACGGGATTTTGACCCATGGCCATTTGGCCAGACGCGGGGGAAGGGTAAAGTTCTGGTAGACTACGCAATGAGAAGCAAACCCCGCGAGAACTTGTGCTCTGCAAAAGTGCAGGCCTATGGTTTCGCCCAAGCGATGAAACTAGACCAACACATGCCAAAAGCATGGACTAACCAGTTGGGGTGCGTCGGTAGAGACACAAACACTTTGATCGCAGCTCATATCATGGCTACAATGACGAGCAACTGCTCGCAGTAACATGCTTTTGCAGAAGTCCCTTTCCCCAAAAAATGCAAGGCAGGGGAATACCCATTGCTGCCAAGCATTTCTCCCAGCAGGTCCTTAGAAGCCATCCGCCCACTGGCCTGGCCAACGTGACCCTGTTTCTGCAGAGATGAACCCAGGCAAAGCAAAATGTCGGAGCAGAATTGTGAATCGTGACGTGTTCAAGATTGCGGCTGTCACGAATGGCACGTGAGCGGCGAACAGCGAACAGCGGGAAAGCAAAACAGCAATGAACAATACCAGCGCTATAAACAAAATAGGATCAATGGGAAATCGGGAAATGCAATTAATCAAGCCTAATAGGCTTTTCACT